TAGAAACTCTCGTTTGCAACTGTTGGACTAATGATTACACCCTATATCAGCTAGATGAGGGCAAGAGTGTGCAAGGCGGTATTGAATGTCACTGTCTGTCCATGTGTCACTGTCTGTCACCTCAAATTTGTCTCTCAACCTGTGTGCACCTACGTTGTAAACTTTCATTCATAGGCTAGGTTGTAGCAACCTCATGATGGGTATAGGGAAAATTTGAGTATCATGTAGTAGCCTAAACCTATCGCTGTTACATTGAACTGGGTGAATGGAATATGAATGAGAGTCATCCAATATGCTTTAATAGAAATAAGGCCATGCTCATGAAAAAAAATAAATCCTCCCTCATCTTAAACGGCACTGACCGCCACTGGCCAACACTCTCAGCCGCTGGCCCCTCATGGGTGCCAGAGCCGCCTCCACTACCATTGTAAAAGGTGCAAGGCAAGAGGGACAGACCTAACGGAGGACAAAAAACTCGTAGGCTATTGCCTCATAATGGAACCTCCGAAATTTCCTGTTACCGGGGTACATGGGCACATAAAAATAAACATCCTTCAGGTTGATGATGGTGAACCAATCGCTGGGACGCATGGACCATAACAGGCACTGGTTTGTGAGCATTCTGAATGTGCAAACCCTCAGGTGCTTGTTTAGGGCACCCAGGACTAGAATGGGACGTAAGCCACCGTCCCTTTTTGGAACCAGGAAATACCGACTGTAATAGCCATCCTCGGCCTTCGACAGAGGAACCACCCGTATTGCCTGTTTCTGGAGCAGGGAGGATAAATTCTCCCTTAACACTGGTGCTAAGGCCAGGGGAACATCCAACGTGATGACGCCGCAAAAACGCAGGGGCGTACAACAAATTAAAGCCTGTATCCCGACATCTCTGTTCCCCGGGACTCGCAAGAGGAAGTGGCGGCGAAAGAGATGCTAGCGAGGCGGCGTCATGACGAGACTACATCGGCGAGCAAGTAGACTGCCATAGCCCTGTTTTGTTGCCGAACGTGCAGTCACTGGAGAACAAACTAGATGAGCTCCGTTCGAGACTATCCTATCAACGGACATTGATATACAACTCGCTGGTTTTTCTATGCATCGTCAAGAAAGTTCTACAGCTGCAGAATCTTGACTGGCTGCATCACCGCTTGGTACGGCAACTGCAAGGCAACCGACCGCAAGGTGCTACAGAGGGTGGTGAGTATCCAGTACCTATATACCAGGCGGTGCCAGAGGAAGGACCAAGCCATAGACTGTTCTCTCTGCTACCAGTGCACCAAGTCTGGATCCAACTGGACCCTGTGAGTGTGTGGGTAGAGTAAAATAAAATACAAGAGTCAACTCAGATAGTCTGTGTAGCCATTCTGTTAGCATTCTTAAGGCTTGGGGATAGAAGCTGTTCAGGAGCCTGTTTGTGTCAGACTTGAGGCACCAGTACCGCTTGCCATGCGGAAGCAGAGAGAACAGTCTTTGGCGCTTGGGTGGCTGGAGTCTTTAACAATTTTCCGGGCCACACTACCTGATATAGAGGTCCTGGATGGCATGGAGCTAGGCCCCAGTGATGTACTAGGCTGTCCGCACCCCCCTCTGTAGCGCCATGCGATCGAGGGCGGTGCTGTTGCCATACCAAGCAGTGATGCAGCCAGTCAAGATGCTCTCAATGGTGCAGCTGTTTGTTGTTATTCGTTATTCACTATTTATTCCTTGTGTCACTATATGTATTTGTATTTTTTTAAAATCTTTATCTTAACTCTGCATTGTTGGAAAAGGACCTGTAAGTAAGCATTTCACTATTAGTCTACACCTGTTGTTTACGAAGCATGTGACAAATAAAATTTGATTTGATGTAGCTTATGAGTAGAAATCAGATCGAAACCCATATTTAAGTGATTAGCGAGCTCTAATAGCAAACATACAGTACAATAGCACAGGTGCTGCCGCACCAGTCAATTAGTATTGAGGCAAGGCCCGGGACAATGGAGTGAGTGTTTGGACTTTTGTCAAGCAGTAGGAATGGAAAACCTTGTTGCAACTTGCTGCTGCAGATTTAAACTTTCAAGGACTTGAAAACAGGATTTTAACATTGACAAAGAGTGGCCTAGGCAAAGTGGTGGGTGGTGCATTTACAGTATGTGCCTGTGGTGGTGGTGTTGTGTGTGTGTGTGTGTGTGTGTGTGTGTGTGTGTGTTTGTGTGTGTGTGTGTGTGAAGGGAGAGAAAAAGAGTGAAAGAGAGGGGAAAGAGACTGTGTGTGTGCGTCCGTGTGAGAGTGTGTGACTGATGCAGAGGTCCTGAGTTGGCGAGTTGTTTTTGTACAAAAAAAAGGAGAAAGAAGAAAAAAAACAGACTGGGCAAAACTGAATATAAAAGAGAGCGAGAGAGGGAGCGAATGGAAAAGAGGAGAGGCGAAAGGGAGGGAGGGAGTGTTGGAAAAGACTCCAAAGGGGGTTGTCTTGGAAACGGAAACGGCAGAGTGGAGCCCCACAATCCCCGGTTTGATTGGCGTCTGGGCGTTACTGTCAGTCACGAACAGAGAAGACCAACACCTGGCTTCACCATACAATACACTCACACACACTCACACACACTCAAACACACCTGGCAGCACCATACAGAATACACTCACTCTCTTCACACACACACACACACACCACACCTGCAACCCAAAGGCCTAAAACACACAAACACCACTCACCATACAAAACACACACACACTACACATACTCACTCACTTACACACACACTCTCTAAGACTTGTCACCCCCCACCAAGATGCACACTCTCATACACACCTGCGCTCCATAGGCCTATACAGAACACACACAAACACACACTAACGCAACATACTATACACCTGCACCAAACACACTCTCTCCCTCTAACACAATTACACACACACACAAAACACTCTTCAACACACCTGCCATCAAGCACATGCACTTAAACTCTTGCAGACACTGAGGAACCCAGAGAGAGAGCGAGAGAGAGACATTGAGAGAGAGAGACATTGAGAGAGAGAGAGAGAGAGAGAGAGAGAGAGAGAGAGAGAGAGAGAGAGAGAGAGAGAGATAGAGAGAGATAGAGAGACCCCCCTGGAAGAGATAGAGAGAGATATCCGTATTCCTATAATGAGAGAGAGAGAGAGAGAGATTTATAACTTATTTCAGTCAGGTGTCAGCCAGGTTACTCTCACAGAAACTGTCTCACCTATTGGGGGAACACACATACATACACACACACACCAACAGGTTATGACGTCTGGCAGTCAGGTGCCAGGTGACTCTCACAGAAGCTGTCTCACCTATTGCTCCTCTCTCACCTGAGCTGAGCTATTCCCATGGGTCACCTGGATGCTAGAAACCTCAGAGAGCAACTAAAGACTGTCAGAAGATTCTAAACTTCACGGTGACCTGACGGGCTGTTTCAAAGTACCAAATATAACTTTTAAAGTGCATTGAATATATTGGTAAAATGAAAGCGCCAATTTACTGCATACACTAGGTCTATATTATCCAAAGATAACCACTTAAGCAGTTCATCCTTATTTGACCTTTTGATGGAGCTTGGAGAGGACCATAGCCCTGTAGTTATAGGCTGGACATCACTTGAATGATGACAGGTCTGTATCCTTTCCTTTCAAAATAATGGTTTGAAAGGAAGGAGGAAGTTGGGTACTGGGTAGATAGAGAGACAGCATGCCCCTCGTAGGTTTGGGAAACATTAACAAAGACCTATTCCATTGGAACTGCAGCATAAGAAAAGCTTCTATTTGGCCGAACCAACAGACCTTTTCCTCATTCTCATGGAACCCCACCGTAATTCTATGCTCCATTGTTAAGCCTATCAATACCATGTATAGAAGCCATGGACGTCTTTATAGGCTAACAATCGTTTGAACGATGTCAGACGTCTAGAAAACGAGCAGACGCACTCACAGACACAACAAACTGTGTTGATTCATTTGGTAAACGTAGTTTGTCATTGTGGCTGTTGTTGTTGTAGACTGAAATAGGAGAGTTTGTGTGACTTTTGTTCCAAGCGCAATAAAAGTATCCTTGTATCCAATAGCCTAAAATGATTGTCTTGAAATGATGATGAAAATAATAAAAGTCGATTAAATATGTTAAAATATATTAATGTTTGATAATTTGTTTACATTTGGTCCGTTTTGCTCGTAATCATGGAAGCACAAAAAGTAGATATATTTTATGCACACCCATTCATGCGCATGCTGGCTGTGTGCCAAACTGCCAATGCCATGATTTTAAAACTCTTTATTATAAATAATTTGAGCTCAATTCACACTTTTAAATGAGTGTATTCGGGATTATTACTTTTTCTAATTGAAAAGCTCCCCGTCTCTCTCACACACTTTCTATCGCTCATCAACAAGTGCTCCACTCCTCAGTGCCTCCAGCACATGCAGCTCGCGTCCCCGCCTATAATTATGCAAATGCAAGCGCGCACGGGGGAAGCCTATAGCGCTCCGGGATTGGTCCGGACCCTTCGAATACAATTATCTCTGAAAAACCGCACGATTGAAAGGGAATAACTTTTTTTGTCATCACGCAGGACTCTTCAGTTTACAGAATTGAATCTCTAGAAGTGGTTGTTTGCAACCCTGCGCCGAAAGAGATAGGCCTACTGACTGAAGGGATTTTTAATGATAATTTTTTTTTACAGCTCAAACAATTCGTCAAACTTTATCGTTGAGTTGACTTTTCTCTCGCTTGATTGATTTATGTAGACTAATGACCGCTTCACACACTGACTCGTAATTTAATCCCCGTGGTTCGAATCGGGTGTGTCTTCTGTGTTCTAATTAGTTGATTTGGAACACTTGGTGCATTCGGTTTCCACTTGTCATTCCAGAACAGGAAAACCACCCGGCCAAAAGTCGACAGGTAACAGGTGACAGAGGCTGTGACTGTTTACTTCGCTTTTTATCAATTTTAACTTGATTTATTTTGAACTGAGACACTTTAAAAGTTCCAGACAACTATGTATAGCATGATGGAACACGAGTTAAAGCCCTCTGGGCAACAGCAGTCGCACCAAACCGCCATGTCTCCGGTCACCGGCAACAACATTGGCAACTCTCACCCGGGGTCCAAATCCCTGTGTCCTCCGGGCGGGGACCCCATGGACAAGGTCAAAAGACCCATGAACGCCTTCATGGTCTGGTCTAGGGGCCAGCGTCGCAAGATGGCCCAGGAGAACCCCAAGATGCACAACTCCGAGATCAGCAAGCGGCTGGGCGCGGAGTGGAAGCTACTGACTGATGCTGAGAAGCGGCCGTTCATTGACGAAGCCAAGCGCCTCAGGGCGGTGCACATGAAGGATTACCCCGACTACAAGTACAAGCCACGCCGTAAAACCAAGCCCCTGCTCAAAAAGGACAACCAAATGGGGAAGTACCCTCTCTCCGCCGGGAACCTGCTGGCCGCGGCCGCCGCGCAGGGCCAAGGTGGGAGTCCCAGGATGGAGAGTTACGGGTGGGGCCCGGCGGGAGGTTACGCCGGGATGCAGAGCGAGGCCCTTGGCTACACTCAGCAGCTGCACCGCTACGACCTGTCCGCGCTCCAGTACCCCCAGGCCATGACCGCACAGACGTATATGAACGGCGCCAACACCTACAGGTAGACTATGTTCCAGTTCTAAATTCCATTCCGCATGTTCTGATTCTAATACCTAATTGAGAGGGACAATGTTTTATAGCTTTCATGTAAATCCAGTTTTGATAACAAAAGTTTAATGACAATGCTCTCACGCCAGTTGCTACCCGTGTAATCTGACACCTAAATTTACTGAGCAGGTGCACTTGTGCTGTGGACACATCTGTAAACTATTCTTTCATCTAAATTCAGCATTTATTTCGATTGTTAGCTAGTTTATTGCGTATTGAATGAAAAGGACACCCTCAATACTTAACCTACCTCAACACTTGAAAGTGTGTACCCATTTTATATAGCCTATACAACCAGTATGAAAATGTATGCACTCACTAACTGTAAGTCGCTCTGGATAAGAGCGTCTGCTAAATGACTAAAATGGAAAATGTTCAACGTTTCTTAACCGAATTGGAACCAATGATAAACTTTTGTCAGTGGATCGGCAGCCTGAAGTTTGCAAATTGACATTTTCTCGTTATTGTGATAAGATTTGAGCAATTCTAACCAGACACCCACATTCTCTGCTTTAAACCAGTGGTTGCTACATAATCAATGTTGTACTAATCAAGACTTATCGTTAAATCACATTACTTTAGGCCCAATTATTGCGAGAGCAGTTATCACATAAAAATAGGATATAGCCTGCTGTTTTAATGGACCAGAAATTATTAATCGCCCAACATGGAAGAGATTATTTAACATTACTTCTGCATTTTAATACATTTTATTTCAGTTCATGCAGTATGCAATCAGTACAGGTCCAGCAAGCATCATGCCTTGTCAGTGTATTTCAAAATGTATGTATCAGATAATGTTTTGAATTACTTGAATTGCTCAAGTTTTGTTAATAAAAAACACTTGTTTGTTAAACACTTCCAACATTCTGACTCTCACAAGTTTGATGAATTTCTGTAAATATTTATAATCTGATAGGCCCCATGTGTTTGTTGCCAAACTGGATTTGCCTGTTAAAAACTAAGATGAATTATAACCCATGTCATGACTCACAACCCTCACACATCCAGCACAGAGCCATAACTTTTTTGTTTTGTCTTTCTCCCAATTGTTGATTTTCAGAAGATGACTTTGTATTTCTTTTTTTGTTCAGAAATGCTAAATGCTAAATATACTGCACGTTAAGGATAAAATAATTATTTTTATTATTTTCAAATGTCATTTTAACCTATAATTTATTAAAACATTCTATCTTATGTCTTTAAAACTTTGGTCAATAGTAAATAGGTTAATATTTGTATTTTTACTTTTTTATTTTACCAGGTTAGTCTCATCGAGAAACAATCTCTAACAAGAGACTGGGCCAAAATAGCGGCGCACACAAAGTTTCACACTTGTAACATAACACAAAGCACTACAGTTTTAAAAACATACATTTACACATTGGTTAAGTGTAGGTTGTTTACTTGTTTTAGGCCTGTGGATTGTAGAGCATGTGAAGAGGCCCACTCTATGGGAAAGCTTTGTGTGTGGTCCTTTACCCACAATCCTCTAGTCCACATCAGTGCTTTCTCCCAGGCCTCTTCCAGAGAGACACCAGTGATTCATTTAGTTTCAAAACAAAAAAATGTGCATAAACACATTCACACAGCTTTTTCATGCTTCCAATTTAAAATAATTCCTCACCCTGATATCTTTAAGCGCCTTTAGTTGGTTAATGAATTCCTTAACTGACTGAGAATATCTGCAGTTCACTTCATGGTGCTGTAGTTGGTGGCCTAACTAGTCTGGACCTGCCCTGTCCCCACTCCCCAGCCCATGCTGTTTGTAAACACAGGGTGGATTCCATGGGCTCTCCCACTAGGTGACTCACTACTGGTCACATCAGTCAACTCTGCATGTTTGTCTGCACCCAGAATAATATATTGCGTGCCCCTCTTCTGACTGTCATGCAGGATTAATGATTTAATTCCGATGGGTCTGTCTTGGTATCAAAATGAATCTGAACTTTTTTATTTGACAAAACCACTCTAAAATCCCAAAGAAAAGACAACTCGTTGCAAATTACCATGAATTAAGGTGAAGTAGAACAATTGGACACTTCATAATCAGTCCGTTCTTTACGACACATTTCAGGTATAAATGATTTGTATTGAACGGAGTGGACATGATTTGTCTGTCATGTAGAATAGTGTAATCGGGTCTGCGCTATTTATTGCGCGTATACCTGAAGATTTAGTTGCGTGCCCCAACATGACATACTGTAGCTAAACATTACATAACATCCATATCATTCAGTCACTAACAGCATCTCCCCCTCTCCTCCCCAGCCCCATGTCCTACAGCAGCAGCCACCAGCAGCCCAGCCCAGTCATGTCCATGGTGAAGCCAGAGCCGGTGTCGCACTCCCCGACCGGTGGACCTAACCACCACCGCGGGCCTCTCCAGGGGGATTTGAGGGATATGATCAGTATGTACATCCCCGGGGGAGACACCAGTGACCCTGCCGCCCAGAGAGGAGGCTACAGCGTCCAGCAACACTATCTCAGTGGGACTGTCCCCCTCACTCATATCTAGGGACCGGTGGGGATAGTGACTGGGACTCAATGTGAGTGTGCTGGCTTGGAGGGACACAAGGACACCAGTTTTGTCACACACCCTGGGTACAACACTGTCAGACCCACTCATTATGGTCCTGCGTTGCATTATAAAAAGCAGTGACTTTATATAAAAAGGTTATTTTTCTACCTCCGCATTTTGACTACAATAATATGCCCCTTCGTCCGTCCCGTCCTCTGTCCCAAGACTGGGTTGTTTGTTCAGTTGCCCATCCACTTCTTGGACGGAGACACTTCTCGATTAACTTCTCATTATGACGGACTGCTGTCCTGTACATATACTTTACGACAATGAAATGTTTGTTTGTGTACATAGGATTTTTTTCCCTCTTTGACAAAAACGGAGCTTCCATTCAAAAACGCCCGGGCCGCTATGTATGTCGCAAAACACCTGACTCTTGTATGTTCACAATGTTCCATTGTGTTCAGTCTCCTGTATTGTCCTACTGGCACAGTAGTACCTGCCCCTCGGGTTTATGGGTAATCATGATCACGACCTAAACTAAACCAACCGGGAGGGAGACATGGGCTGCATCCCAAATGGCACCCTATTCCCCATATAGTGCTCTACTTTTGACCAGAGCCCTATGGGCCCTGCATGGTCAAAACTAATGCACTATAAAGGGAATAGGGTGCCATTTGGGATGCAGACTCAGAGGGGCTCCACCATGGGAACGCAACACACTGGGAACCGGGTCAGTCAATCACTATCCTCCTAGGGCCAGTGACATACAAATCATATGACCCGCCACAAGAATTCTGATGATTCTGATTCCAGAACTGGTTTTGTTTGTGTGGCCCAGTGGGGCCTCTCTCAGAACGGAACATCTAATCAACTAACCGCTTGCTAGTGCAGTGAAATGGGGAGACCAAGGGAGAAACGCACAGAATATAACTTGGGGAAGAGAGGGAGAAATGCACAGAATATAACTTGAATGAAGAGTGACACTTTTTTTTTTTATACAAGTATGGCCTCTTGGTGCCTTCTACTTTGAGTAAGTGCGCTTGTTTTTAAAGCCAATCCAATTTCATAGGATGACATGGTATAGTCTGTTGGACAATCTTATGAGTTCATTGGAGCCAATGGAAACAAGTATATGAGATTAATTGGTGTGTTTAGTAGTACTGAATATCCAAACCCCATACCAATGCATTTTTGTTTGAGTCTTCAATAAAAAATAAAAAATATATATAACATGGTTTTTAAGTTGAAGGAAAAATCCACTCCAATTCTTTTTGGTATTTTTTCCATTAGTCCACTGTTGATACAGTCCTAAAATGTTTTGCATGTCAGGTTTTCAAGATATATGATTTTCAAGAAGCAAAGTGTCACATGCCATGTGGCAAGTGACACTTTGCTTCTTGAAAACTTGACATGCAAAACATTTTAGGACTGTATCAACAGTGGACTAATGGAAAAACAACTAAAATAATTGGATTTTTCCTGCTGCAATGAGTTTTACATTTGACAATGTAATTGTTTGTTCATTAGTCATCCATTTTGATTTTGACTATTGTAAATACTATTAGGAGTTACGCTATTTGGCAATGTTCCTAATGCTTACTGTTCAGATACCTCTGTTGTATTCTGCAGGTTTTAACTTTGTTCATAGAATACTCTTAACTGAATGACATTTTATACAAATGCTGCATTCTATTTCATTGTTTACATAAACAAGTTTTTATTTTTTACAAAATACATTTCGATGATTTTTCTCTAGCTCGGCAACTGTTTGTATGGATTTCTACTTTTTTACAGATGTATCCAACCAAGCACTGTTGCCTGGGCAACTAATGGCAGAGAATAAAATCTATTAATTTTACAATAAACTTCTCAATGTTCTCCAGCTTCTCAGTTTCATATTTTAGCTGATAGTTTGCTGCTGCTTAATGTCTTCAGATACCACACTCCATTTTCCTTTTTTCTAATTCTACAAAATGACTGACAAAAGGAGTTGGCATAAAGTTTTGTCTCCTGTTGTAACAAGACTTGAGGGTTAAGGTTCATTTGCCTTTGTTTCATCTGACAACACCCTCTCTCATTTATGAATAGTCAACCAGTGCTGCTAAAAGTTAGGATCAATTTTAGATTTCTTTGTGGTCTGAAATGGCAAGTGGGTACATTTTTAGGCTGTGGAAGTAGTTGAACCACACAAAATTACAACCATTCTGGAACAGTCATGTTCCAACAGTCCCTTTAGTATTATTGTACAATCCACTAAAGTACTTGCATCAAAGGGAATAAATCACTGTTCATTCTTTTTGGTGGGGTTTAAATACTGTCATTTATATGAAAGTAATAATGAAACACGTTTATTGCAATCCAAGTGTGTAAAACGTAACCTTTTTACTGTAAACTTTTAGCTGCATTTATTTAGTTGTCTAATCCTGGTTGTTTGAGAGTCTTGCAACTTTTGATGTGCATAGTGTATAAATAAACTATCTTTTTAAGGCTCTTATACTAAGGGTATTTTTGCTAACTCATTTTCACATGTGGCATTGACAAGTATTAAAACGTCTTTAAATCCTCTGGTCTCAAATATATTCATTGCAGTCTTTCAGATGTTTTTGGGACATTAAGCAATTTATTTTGTTCTCGAAATGTTTACGTTTTAGAAATGCACTCCATTGTAGTATTTTCACAAAGATGACGCATCATTGATATGCTATTCTGGGGAAATTCCTGGCACAGACTAGACTACAATTGTGTCAGTTTGCATAATGCGCAGATTACACGTCAGATTGAGAGGTCGATTCAACGGTGAAGTTCTTTGATATTGGACTCATTTGGAGCCTATTTATGGCAATTAGGTTGAGACGGCCTATTTTGTCAGGCAAAGTTGTTCAGAAATAAGAGCATAATACAGTCTCAAAGTCAATTGAGAATACTTTAATCCAATATTTAAAGCCAGCCAATAGCCAAATGTTTTTATGCTTTTATGAAGGTGACTGCTAATGTTTTACAACGCATTATCAATTGTTCCTATTCTTCAGCTTTGGCTGCTCAGCTGTTTGAGTGACCTCATCTGTCCGCGATCATTACAGAAAATAACCATAGGCCTGACATCAGGCGCTCAATCAAAACGAGCCGGGTTTACGTTTAAACAGTGGCACCACAGGTGGACACCATTATGCTTGGGGATGCTTAAAATAAAACTTCGGAGGGAGGCGGACCAACAAAAAAAAAACGTTTGGGGAGATGGGACAGAGGCGTCCCGGGTGTAGGAGAGACGCGTGGGGGGGGGGGGGGGGGGGATGATTTAGGGTCGATCGTTTACTTTCTTCTCTTCTCCCCGTCTTTTAAAATTCACTTCTCCCCCTCTTGCTCACCCCCTCCCTCCCTTCTCCGGAGAGAAAGCGGGTGGCTGGCCCACTCATAATTGCCCGTTTCGGAGGCACATTGTCCGTAGCTTTTGAGCTCGCAGGTGCACATAGTAAAGCCGCGGAGTCTTCGGCGACTCCCCCGGAGAGCTTTGTTCCCTTTCTCTCGCTCCCCCGCCGAGCAGAAAATGAGCGTTGCATTCGGGGGCTTCATCGCCCCTTCTTCTCCAGATCAGGCTTAACCCTTTCACCGCCCGTCTCCATTCTCATGGAAATCGTAGAGCCTGCGCAGGCTAATCGCAGGGTAGAAGGGAGGGGAGGATGGGAGAGCTATGGCGAAGATATGAGTGGAGTGGGGGGGGGGGGGGGGAGTACCCACCATCTCTTCCTCTCTCTCTGGCAATCTGACATTCAAGACCCAACTAACTCTACCAACACAGCCTGTCGTTTCCCTGGCAACTCTGAACTCAAGGCTGCGAAACTAGCCAAGAAAGCGCGTAAATTGGCCCACACTACGCTAGCCCCGGCCCATGACCACATGCACCCCTCGGAATATTAATTTGGGCCAAGCAGTTGGAGATTTGAACAACTTGGTCTATTCCTAAATAAGGGTGCAAGGAAGAGAAACACATTAATTGGGAAGTTGTGTATGGAGGGGGGAGATAAGAGAACATTTTGTTTGCGCCAAATGGTTAGCCAGATGGCATGAGTGGTGGAACTGTGTAGCAAGGACCCTTTTAAACTTAAAATATAGGCCCATACTTTTGACAGCATTCATTTATAGTGATCTGTATAATTTGACAAAGGTCCTTTTTAAGTTTGTTGTCCCACTGCATGGCGGAAGTTAGATGATGGCCAGCCTGTGCGCCTTATGCGTTCTGAGGGTGGTTGAGTTTGGTGAGGTCGTTGTGAGGGGGTTGAATGGGTGGTTGGGGTAGGAGGATTTTCTGGTAGAATACATTCAATATCTTAGCAACGGGCAGTGAGGCTTCAACAAGTGGTTGCCATGGATTTGATGAGCCAGAGCTAAACAAGTGCGTGGGAGATGCTGGCGGTGTGACTTTTAAAGAGTTATTAGAAGTTGTGGTCATCAGAAAGTCTTCTCTATGACTCAGGTGGGTGGTTACAATATGCTCAGTTCTTTTTTTGTTTGTTGAAGATGGACATTTGCCTTTTATGATGCTGAGACATGTCTTACTCATAAGCCTAAACTCATTTGCTGTGATATATCCTGCTTTAAATTAATGCACGCGCAACGACTGGTAGGCCTAATTGTGTCTCTCTTATTTGATCAATGAGCAAGTTGACATTTGCCGCATACTGTCTGAAACGTCTCTTACTCATAAACGAATTTTGCTGCATGTGTAGGCCTATCCCACTGGATACACCATTTCAACGTGGATAATTGGGTAACATTTGGTTGAGATGTTGATCAATGAGATTGCAGCCTATATTCACCCACTCAAAATACAGCCAAATGTTAATTGAATTTCCAATGTGTTATCACTATGCTTTCAACCACCTAAAAGCACAACCAAATTCCAATGGAAAAACAATGTCTGACTTTTGGTTTAGTTGTCACCCAAATGTCTATCACTGGGCTTTCAACCATTTAAAAGCACAGCAAAGTTCAAATGG